AGGGACACTCTAAATTTTTTTAGCTGTTTACCAAAAGACCACTGGATGTCATAATTGATTTAGGCCAATCTGGTCACACCCAGAGCTAGCAGTAAGTTCAGTTGCTAGTTATTTTTAGTTTGTTCCCTTTCTACTAGATCCATTTGCTTCCATTTAGCTCATGCACCATAGTTTGCTGACCTTTACTCTAAACGAACTGCATCCTTGACATTATCCCTTGGGTATCTCAGAGGCACCTTAAGTGCATCTAGAATCAAACTCCTGTTCCCTTGCCAAGCCTACTACTTTTCTAGTCTTCCCTTCTCAGTGAATGACATCAGCAAGTCAGAAACCTGGGAGTCACCCTTGACGCCTCCCTTTCCCTAACATTCCACATCCATACTTAGTTCAAACTTCCCTTCTTTCTTACTTGAATGTCATAGTAACCTCCTCAGTAATCTCCCCATATTCACTCATTCCCTTTTCAAAATCTATTGCCCAGGCTGGAGTGCAGTGGTGTGATCTCGGCTCACTGCAGCCTCTGCCTCCCACAACCACACCTGGCTAATTTTCGTATTTTTAGTAGAGACGGGGGTTTTGCCATGTTGGCCGACCTGGTCTTGAACTCCTGACCTCCCGTGATCCACCCACCTGGGGCTCTCAAAGTGCTGATTTTTCCCATATTCACTCTGGATTCCTCCTAAGTATCATCTCTAAAGTGATCTTTTAAGAATGCAAATTTCATCAGGTCTCTTCCTGTTCAGTCCCACAGTTAAGTACTTTCCATGGCTTCCTACTTCCCTAGGGGTAAAGACCCAAATCTCTAAGGTCCTGCCTGGCCTGGGTTTTGTTTACCTCCCAGCCACATCTTATTCTATTTTCTCTCCCTTTCGTGTTTTCTATGTTGCAGTCACACTCATTCTTTTCAGCTCCTTGACTGACTAAGCTCCTTCCTGGTGCAGGACCTTCACATGTGCTGTGTCCTCTGCCTGGAATGCCCTCCCTCTCCTCACCTTGTTACCCCTTCCTTCAGACCTCAGCTCAAGAGAAACTTTCAGGGAAGCTTAGCTACTTTCTTTGTCCTTCCTTCATAGTAGTTATCAGAGTTTATAATTATGCATTTGTCTTTACGATTATTTAGTTTATGTATCAAACTTCTGCTGTATTTTAAGTATACAAAGGAATATATTTATTTTGCTTGCATTTATTTCCAAACCCAGAGGGTGGCACAAAACTGATGCTCAATAAATGTATGTTTGAAGAATGAGTGAAAGAATGACAGCATTGTCAGGCAAGCTTTGGGATAGAGAAGTTCAAGGAGCAATTAGTCACTGGTAGAGGGTCTAGGAAAATAAGGATGGAAGTGTCTACTGGAGTTTTTATCCCTTGGATTTTACAATTTTAAGATATCTGATGCCTTTTACCAAAAGTGGTAGTGGAGTTCAGTTGTACCATAAGGTCTGTAAGTGAATGGGAAGGAGGAGATGGGAGACCTCAAGTGTAGACCATTCTTTCACAAGCTTGGCTTAGAAAGGAGACAAAGGGCAGTAGCTGGTAACTAAAGTAATATTACCAGGTTAAGGAAAGATTTTTTAAAAATTGCTATTTGTTTTTAAGGATGAGAGAAACTTCTGTGTATTTAGAGGCTGAAAGGGAGGGGTTGAAGGCAGTAGAGAGGGTTTTTTTGTTTTTTGTTTTGTTTGTTTTTGAAATGGAGCCTTGCTCAGTCACCCAGGCCGGAGTGCAGTGGCGCGATCTCGGCTCACTGCAACCTCTGCCTCCCAGGTTCAAGCAATTCTCCTGCCTCAGCCTCCTGAGAGCTGGGACTACAAGCGTGTGCCACCATGCCCAGCTAACTTTTTTTGTATTTTTAGTAGAGATGGAGTTTCACCATGTTGCCCAGGCTGCTCTTGACCTCTTAGCCTCATGTGATCTGCCTACCTCAACCTCCCAAAGTGCTGGGATTACAGCAGTGTGAGCCACTGCATGCAGCCTAGAGAGGGTTTTTCTGCTAAAGCAGGTCATGGAGGAGCTTGACTTTGCATAGGAAAAGGGACACCACATGCTTTCAGGTTGGAAGTAAGGAGGGGAGCAGATGCAGGAATGCATGCGCCTGGGCCATTTATATGGCCTCAAGTTTCATGATGAAGCAAGAGGTAACATTTTCTTCTGAAAATGAGGGGTTTGGATGTTGCATAGAGGATTGAGGGAGAATGACAAGGGCTTGAGGAATCATGGAATGGGAAGCTAACCAAGGCCAGTTAAAGGTTTGCCAGGCCTCATTGAGGACTCAGTGGTGGGTGTCATTCATGACTTTTTATGGTAACTGTCAAGCTGTGTGATTTTTCTCGTTCAGGGTATACTAGCCCAGTCTAGTTGTAGTCATCTACAGCTGAGCTTTTCCTGAAAGGGTGCAATGGAAAGATAGGAGTGTAGGGGAGTTAAGAGTATTGAATGTACTGTGAAAAAGGTGATAGGAATAAAGTGGGTGACTTACAAGCATGCTTTGTTCCTATACTAGAGTTTCTGGTGACTTTATCTGTTTCTCTCAGTGTCTCCCTGTCTGCTCCCCTCCCTCTGAATTTTTGCCCTGAAGGTGCTGACATTTAATAGAGGAATAGCCTTTATAACTAGGTGCAATCAATGGCATATGTGCCTAAGCAGGATTATGTACCTAGTGTTAGGAGGAGAAAGGACAATGAATCACATCAGGGAGTTTGGGAAGGCACCGCAAAGGGAGCTGATATTTGAGCTGGAATTTGAAGGTGTATGAATGTTGGGGATGTGGTGTGGTGGGGAACAACCCAGGCAGGATTGGTAGAGGTAGGGAGGAGAGCCTTCCAGACAAAGACGTGTTTAAAGAGAGGCTCGGTGGCATGAAAAGACACACTACATGTGGGAAATAGCAGGACATTCAAGTAATGGTGAAGGGGTTGGGAAGGTAGATGGATGGAGTGACAGAAGTTTGGGGCTAGATAGCTGCTGTTTGAATTTTATTTTGTAGCCCATAGGAAATTATTGAAAGTTTTTGAATATGTGTGGTGTTCATTTTAATAATAATACCTAACATTTATTAAAGTTTTATTCCAGATGCCGTGCCCAGCATTTCATGTTGTGAAATGAACAACATGATTATAATAAAAAATTATCTTTTTTGATCGTAGTAGGGAGTAATCCAGTGAAGTAGATCTTGTTATTATTCCCATTTACCACGTGAAGACATTGGAGCTTGAACTGGTTAGGTAACTGAGATCAACGTCTCACAGCCAGAAAGTAGTTGAGCTACTCAAGTCCAGGTCTGGCCAATTCTAAATCTGTATTTTAAATCTCTATACTCTACTTACGTTTTAGGATAAAAGAATGGATATAGGGAGAGTGTAGATTGTCCATTCATTTCCACCTTCCAGTTTTTAGAGCTAGATCTTGAATGATAAATAAGGATTTTCTTACAGTGATGGGTCAGGATTGAGAGTGTAAGAGAGTGGGGACTGCAGAATGAAAGCTTTTCAACAGAGGGACAGCATTTGGAAAGGCACGAAAGGCATGACAGGTTTAGCATGGCAAAGTCAGAAGGGGTGCCACAGGCAGACCAGAAGTAATCTTCATCTTCGGGATGGGTCAAATTCTTACGAGTTCTTATTAGTGGGTTCAGTTTTGGTGTCCTCCTTTTAAGAAGAATGTCAACAGACTGGATTGTCTAGAGAGGAGCAAGAAAAATGATTCAAAGCTGGCAGAGGTAAAGGCAGTGGAACTAATGACTCATAGCTGTGACGAGAAAGGTTGAGAGCGTGGGCAGGACTGAAGAGCTGGCAATAATGACAATGATTCTAACATGCACTGAGCACTTACTCTGGGTTGGGTAGGCTTCTCAGTGTTTTGTATGCTTTAGCTCGTTTAATCCTCACAGTGGCCTTCTGAGGTTAAGTACTATTATTATCATTCCCATGAGGGTGAGCAGACTGAAGAAGTATAGTAACTTGCTAAGGCTGCAGAGCCAGCAGGTAACAGGGCTGCGATTTGAACCCAGAGCCTCTGGCATAGGAGTCAGGGTCTGTGCACTCAATCACAACCCCATTCTGTCTGTAACAGAAGCACTATTGGTATTCAGGATGTGTGTGGGTTTGCACTTTTCTGAAATCTTGCTGCTCTGTTTGCCTTGGCCACCAGAAGATTCATGGCTTCTTGAGGTGGATAAGGAAGCAGGAAGAACAAAGTATTGGCAATGTAATTTCCTCAAATATGCCTCTGTAGGGAAAGATAAGTTTTTGTTCTCTGAAAGCAGAAGGAACTGGTTAGAATATGCCAGTCCTTTTCAGGGAGGTGAAGTGTCAGAGCTGGATACATGAGTGGTTTTGGAAGAAATAAGTCTCTAGTGGGTTTAAAAATGATACCTTATTTTTACATGACAGAATGCATTCACCTATTCTGTTTTCTTCCCCACAATTTACTTTTAATGGATGTGTGTCTCCTCAGCCAGCTCTAAGAAAATGGGAAAAATAGATAGTACCTTGGGGGCCGTTTTAGAAAATTATTTGAAAGAAATTTTTCCATTCTTACTTCCTTTTCTCGTTTTGCTGTTGAGGAAGTGGTAGCTTCATGATGCAATCATGCTATACTTGGGGTAAGTCCTTTAGACCACAAAAGCTGCCATATTCCCCGAGTGTGTGTTTGTGTCTGCGGGGATGGGTGGGTTATGTTGCCTTTTAGCCAGCCATGGGCAGACCCATTATTTGTGCTTAATTGAACCACAAGCCTGTATTTGGGAAAATGCTGGTGTGACCAGATTTTAAATTTTTCACAAGCATTCAGTTATAATTTAAGATTAGAAAATGATTGAAAAATACTATCTTTGATTAATGCAGATACCAACTCCTTGTCCCTTGTGGGCTTGCCCGAGAAGATATTTATTAGTATTTATTGCCCTGGCTTTTTGATGAGGGCTCTAAAAATAATTGTTCACTCACGTCTGTATATTCCACCCAAATGAATTCATTTTAAGTGTTTGGGTTTGCTTTGATTAGGTGTTTATATCGTCCTTTCCTTGGAGATTCATGCAGATGCCCATGTCCGAGGTTATGTTGGAGAAAAGATCAAGTTGAAATGCACTTTCAAGTCAACTTCAGCTGTCACTGACAGGCTGACTATAGACTGGACATATCGCCCTCCCAGCAGCAGCCGCGCAGAATCAGTAAGTGTGTACTTTTTTGAAACGTTCCTTTGGTCAACGGTTTTGGAATTGTTTTACTGCAAATCGCAGGCATGCATGAGGCCATCTCATCTTAGAGTAGAAAATGGGCTTCTACTTTAATAGAGGTAGCTGAACTTTTATCCTATATGACGTTCATTTGGCCACATAGGGCCCCATGTGAGAATTCTGTAAATAAGCTGCAAGGAAAAAACTGTCAGAAACTCAGAGGAAATGTGGTTTAATTTTGTTTCCCCTTCGTTGTTTGTTTTTGCATGATTTCATAGCTTCATTTTCAGATTTAATGTACTAAAAGGGTACCTTCAGGACTGTTGAATGGAAAAATTCTATAGGTCCAGTCATAGACATCCTTTCTCTTAAGGCTGCTCACTTTCTGTTGTATTAAGTTATCTTAAAGGGTGTATGTGTTTACATATTTGTGTTCTGTGGATTTATCTTGGCACCTTTTCCCAGTGTATAAACATCTGCATTGATTTATATAGCTGCCTTTGAAGGAAATGGTGGCACCTCGTATTGGTGACAGATGTTGGTGACAGATGGTTTTGCAATATTGGAAGCAATATACCTTAGTCATACATGTAAAACGCATTTATGGTCCAAGTTGCATTGTGGCTGTCTAACTGAAGATTAAAATGCTATTAAAACTTTTTAAGCTTCCAGCAGTGTCCTTAGCTCAGGATAGATGTTATTCAAGAATGTGAATGTCATCGCTGTATGTAAGATTATATTTTCGAAAGTATTGTTAATTTATTTATCCTGTTTTCTTCTTGGAAAAATGTCCTCTTTGACTTTCATGTATAAGTAAGCTTTGCATTCTGTGTTAGGAGCCATTATAGAATGCCACATAGCTTGGGACTAGGCAGGGGACTCCAGTGAAAGAAGCTACACTGTATTCATGGTCCTCCCCACCCCCTTTTGCAGACTTGAAATAGTTCACCTGATTCTGAATGGTCAGGAAACTGTGGCTGGCCTTATTTGGCTCTGCCTCCTCGGTCAAAAATAGGACACAGCAAGCAATGGGGAGCTTCCTGGGTCAGAAACAACAGTTCTCTTCTAGTGCTTCTCTCTGCGAGGCTGGTCAGAAAATCAGCAAACTCACACAAGTTGAAATTAAAGTTACATAACATGATGTTGCAGTCATGGGTTAATCAATCAGGATTGTGTCAGATTAATCAGCTAGCAAGGATTTCAGTTTCATGAACTTAACATTGAATTTACAGGCTAGACTAATTTTGAGGATACACAGTGGGCCAGGTTTTGTCAATAAGGAGTTTCAAACTCTTTTACACTGATGCTGATAATTAGTGCTAGGGATTCTTTACCTCCCCCTTTGAAATGTTCAACACACTTTGCTTTGCTTTTCTTTTTGAGATGGAGTCTCACTGTGTTGCCCAGGCTGGAGTACAGTGGTGTGATCTTAGTTCACTACAACTTCTGCCTCCTGGGTTCAAGCAATTCTCCTGCCTCAGTCTCCTGAGTAGCTGGGATTACAGGTGTGCACCACCATGCCTGGCTAATTTTTGTATTTTTAGTAGAGACGGGGTTTCACCATGTTGTTCAGGCTGGTCTTGAACACCTGACCTTGTGATCCGCCCACCTCAACCTCCCAAAGTGCTGGGATTACAGGTGTGAGCCACTGTGCCTGGCCTATTATTTATTGTTATCTGTCTTTATCACTAAAATGTAAGTTTCGTGAGAGTAGGGAGTACACCTGTGTGGCTCTTACTTAACAATGCCTAGCACATTCGAGGTCTGCACCAAATATTTGCTGAAGGAATGCATGAACAAATGAACAAATAAATGAGTCAGCATCTTCTCCAGGAAGTTGCTTTTCAAAATTGGGCAATTCAGTGGTTGTAAACACCCAGGTTCCTAAATGGGAAGCTACCAAGTAACAAAGAAAGAGGAAAGCCTGTATTTTGCATAAGTCATATTGTATTGTAATACCTGTCTGGCCTGCCTCCAGGTATAATTATGCTTTTTTTTTAGTGATGAAGTGTCTGATCACCAAGTCCTAAGCAGCATTGTTTTGATTCAACACATATTTGTTGCGTACTTGTCAGGTATTAGACTTAGGGATTATATTAATTGTCAAGGTAGATGACTTGAGAAAGGCTGAATTATATTACCCTCCTTGTGATTTTGAGAATAAACAAAAATCTCCTTTTTGTCACTTACTAGTTGTATACATTAGAGCAACCCCCTTAGTCTTTTGTTTTTGGCTTTGTTTTCTTTCTTTCTTTCCTTTTTTGAGGTGGAGTCTAGCTCTGTTGCCCAGGCTTGAGTGCCGTTGCACAATCTTGGCTCACTACAATCTCCACCTCCTGGGTTCAAACAATTCTCATGTCTCAGCCTCCCAAGTAGCTGGGATTACAGGTGTGTGCCACCATGCCTGGCTAATTTTTGCATTTTTAGTAGAGATAGGGTTTCACCATGTTGGCCAGGCTGATTCTGAACTCCTGAGTTCAAGTGATATGCTCACCTTGGCCTCCCAAAGTGCTGGAATTACAGGTGTGAGCCACCATGCCCACCCTGTTTTCCTTTTTATATATTTGGAATGATTATGTCTGCCTCATGTACTTCAGTGTTATGAGGCTCAAGTGAGTAAATGTGTGGAAATTATTTACAAACTATAGAGTGCTATTCAAATATGAGATGCTACTTTAGAACAAAGTTTCCCAATTTTGGTTCTGTTGACGTTTTGAGCTGGATAATTCTTTGCTGTGTTTAGCAGCATCCGGGGCCTCTACCCACTAGATGCCAGTAGCATCTCCCCCGTTGTGACAATTGAAAATGTCTTCAGATATTGCCAATGCCTCTTGGAGGGTGAAATCTCTGGTTGAGAACTATTACGTTAGGTTTCCAGGGAGAATTTAGAAGAGATTCAAGGGTTAGGATCCCAGAAGCCTCTCATTGAGCCTTTTTCTGAACAGTTGTATTAACATATAGGATGCAGGTTAAAAAAGCGTGAAATGTTGCCCATCTGAAAAAACAAACCCATTATGCAGTCGTATTTTATTTTGGATCTACTGAGCTTTACGTTTTCATAGCATTTTCCAAATTAACTTTTTCTCTCGTGTGGTTGTTTTCTTAGATCTTTCATTATCAGTCTTTCCAGTACCCAACCATAGCGGGCACATTTCGGGATCGGATATCCTGGGTTGGAAATGTATACAAAGGGGATGCATCTATTAGTATAAGCAACCCTACCATAAAGGACAATGGGACATTCAGCTGTGCTGTGAAGAATCCCCCAGACGTGCACCATAATATTCCCATGACAGAGCTAACAGTCACAGAAAGGGGTAAGCTCACTGTCACCAACCTTCTGCAGTGCTCTGAGACTGCTGTCGTGCTTTCTGGAGAGTCTGATGATAAACAAAGTTGTCTATCTTTGTAAGCCAGTTGGGTAATTAAATCAGTGAGTCAAAGTAATTTTTCTGCCGTCCTGATATGTATGTTGGGATGAATTTTTAATCTTTATTTTGAAAACGGAATTTTCTCTTCAAATGTTATCATAGTTTCTCCATTACCGTTTTTTAGTTTTAACTTTAGGTGACCAAAGGTCTTGTAGAATGTATGGAAAATCCCTGGGTAAGTATAGGGTTGTTGTCTCTGTGAAATAGAAGTCATTCCAGTTTTCCTAGCATGTTCATACTTGCAGTTATGAGGTAGTGTTCTTGCCTGTGTCTTGAAAGGACACCCCCTCTAATGATGAGACCTAGCGTATTTCTTTTATACTGCAAAGAACGGTAGTTTCTCTTTAGGGTGAAGCAGGAGGAGAGTAGATTAGGGACTGATTTTTTTTTTTCTCCATTATTCCCTGGTGACGACTTAAGTGGTTATTCTCGTCCTTAACTGGATTTGAACCAAAGATTTAGAGGTACATTATGGCTCATTATAGATGAGTCATCATTTCTTAGGTCTTTTTCATGTCTCTCTCCCTCCCTCCTTTCCTCCTCCTCTCCCTCCCTCTGTTCCATTCTCTTTCCCATCTTCCCTTCCTTTCTCCTTCCTTCCCTCTCTCCCTCTATTTCTTCTTTCTCTTTCTTGCTTTCTCTTTCTCTTTTTTTTCTTTTCTTTTGAAATAATAACTTGTAGGTTTCAAAGATGAGCACATTCATACTGCTGGCAGAAGAAGAAAATGATACAGTTTCTCTGGAAGGCAGTTTGGTAGTATGAAATCAGGTGTCTTAAAAGTATAGGCCCTTTGATCTAGTAATTCCATTGTAAATTTCATCTAAAGAATTAGAGCTAAACATGAAGATTTATGTACAAGCATGGCCATCCTAATGTAACTTGTAGATTCTAAGAATTAGAAACAACTTGAATGTCCAGCATTAGAGGATTAGTTCCATGAATTATTCAATATGATAGAATCCTATGCAGCCATTACACATCATATGTGGAAGGAATTGTTAAATATTTATCATATAATAAATTTAAAAAGGAGGTTAAAAATAATATGTAAATATGATCCATACTTAAAAATATATATGCCCCCTCCCCATGCACCCTATACCCAATACCCCTAGAAGATTAAATGGGTAGATACCAAAGTGTTCTTCCTAGGTAGTGGGATTATGAGTAAATTTTTATTCTTCATTGTACTTTTGTGTATTTTCTACCTTTTACACAATGTCTTATTACTTTTGTAATTAGAAGAAATATGAGAACAAACATAGAACCTAGCTCACATCACAGGAGGCAAGTTTGCATATCCCTGTCTTTTACCTTCTCTTTCTCCACCTCTAGGTTTTGGCACCATGCTCTCCTCTGTGGCCCTTCTTTCCATCCTTGTCTTCGTGCCCTCAGCCGTGGTGGTTGCTCTGCTGCTGGTGAGAATGGGGAGGAAGGCTGCTGGGCTGAAGAAGAGGAGCAGGTCTGGCTATAAGAAGTCATCTATTGAGGTTTCAGATGAGTAAGTCCAGTGGGAGCCCTGGGCAGCAAACCCGTTTCCTCCTTAGCACCCTACCCAGACCCCTACATCCTCACTTCTCTTTCTTCTGAATGGAGTTTAGTTCTGCTGGTGAAATTTCTTTTTGAAGAGAATAGTTCTGCTAAGGGATGCCAAAAGGAAGGTTGAAAGTGAAGTATGTGAATGCTAATTTGGAGAGAGATGGGGGAGTTGAAATATGGTCCTAATCTTCTGCTTTGGAAATCAGATTGTACAATGCCATGGTTCTGAATAAATTCTGAAGTCAATGTTTCATTCTTTCCATTCCAGGTCAATTATTTTTCCTTCTCCTTGTTTTTGGCACTAAGCTGATGATATCTCCTGACAGAAAATGCCTGAGCAATGAGAGAGGCTTTAAGAACAGCTGTGGAGGGCAAAAGTGATTTGAATAAGCAAGACCTATTCTTGGTCAGCATATGTTCTGAAGGGAGGGGCTACATGGATTGTGTGTATCAAAAAGATTTATCAAGCATTATTCTGCCAGTGAGCAGGCATGACCTAGTATATTCCCTAAAAACAAATGTAGTAAAAGGAAGTCAAAACAAAAGGCCACATAAAACCCCTGTTCTCCATAGTCTGTGTCAGGGGAGGGGAGTCTTACATTGAGAAGGTCCAACATTCTGTCTCTCTCTGTATGTGTGTGTGTATGTGCATTTATTTAATGATAAGAGAGTACCCTGTGCACTTTCCAAGGAATCTGTGGCTCAAAAAAGGCAAAGAACTCTTAGTAAAAATACTAATGTCTGTTTCTAAGCGTGGTGGAGAAAACCCCCTGTGATCTTACTTTAAGTCACGTTGTTCCCTCCTGTCTCCGCACATCCCAGCTGCCATGAACTTTGTTTT